AAATTTCCCATAGTAAATTTTTTGATAAGATCTAGCTACAGCACTAAAGGGGAATACGCCGTAAAGATAAGATGACTCATGATTGATAAATGTGTTAAGTAAGTCAAATTTGTTACATAAGATATAGATGATAGATACGATATACATGTTAAATATGATATATATTTTATATGATAAAGTCAGCACAGATTAAGACTATATAAAAACTAGTTTTTAAACATATGTATACTCTATCTCTCTCCCTCTCTTATACTATAGCTATACATGTATATATATCTATATGCTTATACACAAGTCCAAGTTTTAAATGAAACATTGTTGGGGCTTTTCTTTCGAATTTATAAACTACAAATACTTTATTTATATGATAAATTGTATATATAGAGCTGTCAGCAGCAAGCGAAGCAATATACATATACATACGTATATATATATATATATGGACGTATGCTAATGTTGTACATCAACTGGAGCAGATCTTATGCTATATATAGTTAACAGACATCACTTGCAAATGTCGGGGGACATACACGTAATTTTGTCGGGCATATATTTTAAAACGTTACAAATTAGATTAAAAGCTCAGTTTTTGTTTTTGTTTTTTTTTTTTTTTTTTTTTTTTTTTTGTCTGTCTTGAAGTCGGGTCGATAGGTGGCGACCTGTAGTACAGTTTTAAGATACATATACATATACATAGATAGGACTTTTTTAAAAAATGTTTTTTGCACACTATAGAAATACCCTTAAAACCTTTACTGGAAATGGACATACAAATACGTACATATACATAGGACAATCGAGGACAGGACTATATAATTTAACATGGTCAAAATCAAGTTTGGGGGGGGCGGGGTTAAAACTCTTAAGTAAGGCAAACAAAAAGATACATAATATATATATGTAGAGAAGCACGCCAAATGTGGCATATAAATCTTATTATGATCTATCTCTTCACACACGCACACATAGACCCACACGTGTGTGTGTGTGTGTGTGTTTGGGTAGGGGAAAAAAAAAAAGGTTTTGGCCTTGGTTTGTTCACGCTGGCAGCGGCCGCTAAATCTATTTTTTGTGCTCCGCATAGATTTCCTCAATCTTTTTCCTGCGCTTCGTTAACAGCGGATTGTTGGACTTGTCCAGCGCCTTGATTTGCATCTGGAATAAGTAGGTAGCGAGATTAGAGAAGTGCTTAGCCTTGACGTATTGCAGCGCTAGTTTACTTGATCGTAGTCCACTCGCATGGTGGCCAGCGATCGCGTCATCTCCTCCTGCACCTCCGGCCAGGTCTCTTCGCCCTCCTTGAGCATGCGGCCGGTGCAGAGTGGCGTCTGGGGCACCGCATCGTACTGGGCTATCCACTTGTTGCGCAGCACATCCTCGATGCGCAACCGCTTGCTGGGATCCACATTGAGCATGCCCTTGATTAGATCCTTGGCCGCCTGGCTGACGTTCGTCCACTCGGGATCGGGAAAATCGTATTGGCCCGACCGTATGCGCTTCTTCATGCCCGGCGATATGGACAGTCCGTTGATGCTGTAGAACGGCGGAAAGCCGCACATTATGATGTACATGACCACGCCCAGCGACCAAATGTCGCAGCTCTTGTCATACTTCTGCGGGCCGAGCACTTCCGGAGCTAATGCGACGAACGGAAGAAATCATTCAATGAAACATTTAAAGGGGCACGATCAGAATGAACGCACTGACCCACATAGTACGGCGTATAGCAGGGCGTCTGTAGGGTGTCGTTGGTGAACGTCTCCTTGGCGAAGCCAAAGTCTGTCAGCTTCAGTATTGCATTCGGCTCCTTTGTCGTGTAGAGCAAGTTCTCTGGCTTCAGGTCGCGGTGCGCTATGTCTCGGCTGTGCAGATAGTAGATCGCCTCGCATATCTCGCGCATTATGTGAGCCGCTTCCCGTTCCGTAAACGAGCTGTCCGCCTTGTCCTGGATGCGCTGGAACAGCTCGCCGCCCTCCATGCTGCAAGAGAGAGAGAAAAAGTCGCGTGAATAGGGTGTGTGAAGGTGCTGGCAGAGGGAGACGGAGGGAGTCTGAAGTGGCTAGGGGAAGAGACTATGTGAGAATCTCTCATAAGCGAATGCAGAGGGAAGGAGAGAAGCGGGAATTTGGCAACATAGAAGATTTGGTTCCTCTCCTGACTAGAGCTGAAGTAATACTTATAGCAGAGAGAGAGAGAGAGAGAGAGGGAGAGAGAGAGAGAGAGAGAGAGAGGGAGAGAGAGTGTGTAAGCTAGGTCAAAGAGAGAGGAGGGCAGAAGGGGGGAAGAGACAATATTAATTCATCACTCTCTTTGTCCTTTTCTTTCTCTTGCAATCTTAGATCAGTCAGGAAGAGAAAAAGAGAGAGATAGTGAGTGACAGTAAGAGTAAGGTAGCTCTCTCTCTCTCTCTTTTTCTTGGTCTCTCTTCACCCATAGATGGGACTTCGATTAACGAATGAATTATTGATGATAGAGACTCATACCTTAAAGTTCTCTCTCTCTCTCTCTCTCTCTCCACTTTATTCTCTAGCAATCCCTATCATCAGTTAAGTTTTCACTCTCTCTTCTGACATTTCTGCTTCCCTTTTTCGCCTCTCGATTAATACCTTTTCTTTTATGCGAATGTGAGCACAGAGAGCGAGAGAGAGAAAACTGAACTTGTATAGTCCCTCTCTTGTTATCTCTTCCCCGTCTCAGCATGAGTTACTTTCTGTCTTTTCCCCTTCATTCCTCTATGTTATAAAACTTGAGCTGTGCAGCCAGTTGAAACGCTTACGCATGCCACAGACAGAAATGTCTGCCAAGAGCGCTGGAGTCTTTGGCCTATTTATAGAGCCACAGCGAATGTCTGCCGCAATCAGACGAATTAACGATAAATTAGTTCCAATGCGAAAGGAAAACTCGAAATATATTTAATTATGGCGCGTATAATGCGGATTTATGGCGTCTTTATGGCAACCGAATGTAAACAAGGTGGCAACGCACTAATTGAGTTGCGTGCGAAAAACCGAATTAATGAGTAACGGTGTATAGCGTGTGCCGTTCTGAGTTATTGTTTCCAATTGGAAATAGGCAAATTCGAGTTGGATGACGGGACTTGAATTCATTGTATTATAGCATCTAATTGGAAATCGATAGAATAAATTAGATGAGATTGCCGGCTAGTTGTAGTATGTCCAAATGGAATATATTATTCAGAAAGTCGAAATCATAGTATACGTTCTAATTGGACATTAATTGACTATACTAATATAATCGAAACTAGTTGGCAGCAAGCATCGAGCTGGATAATATTGTAGGGCTAATGAACAACATCCAATCAGAAACGGATTACATACGGGTGGGCTAGTGCCTAGTTGGATTTGTTATTGTATCGTCATATCATACTGCTTCATTGAACGCCCATATGGGAAATGCGACTTGTTAATTGCCCGAATGGAGCCAGCTTTGTGACTGATTGATATATGATACCGTTAATTGGAAACACTGAAACCCAATGCTACTTCCTACTGAAATCTGATCACTCGTTCAGACACGTGTCCAATTGGAGCTAGCCAGTCTAATTACCATTCCATTACCACCAGCAGACACTTGCGTCCGCTGTACGTGTTCTCGTAGACGTCGATGATGTTCACGATGTGCTTGCAGCCGCTGGCCCGCCAGTGCAGGTCGACCTCGCGGCGCGCCTTCTCGTTGTCCAGCAGAACCTTGAGGGCATAATTCTGTTTGGTGCGCCGATTGGTGCACTGCACCACTTTTCCATTGATGCCCAGTCCGAGCACCGTGTCCGATATTTCGTAGTCGTCCACCAAAGGCGTTGTCTTTGGTTGCCGTTGATTCTGCAGCGAAAGCATCTTGAAAGCTCGGGCCTAGCCTAGAAGCGAGAGAGCGAAAGAGAGAGAGAGAGAGTACTCAAATTAGAATTGTTATGTTTATGTGTTTATGAGGCAGAGAGAGAGCGAAAGGGAGAGTGAGAGTAAGATCGACAGTGTTGTCGTGCTGCAGTTAGTAAAAGCCGACCTATTCAGAATAACATTAAGTGCTCCAAGCGCCACTGTTGCATTGCTGCACTCAGCCATAAGTACAAGCTGCTGCTGCTACACAGTAAATTCCTAGCCTTTACTGCCAGATGGTGCAATTGGCAGTAGATATGCCCGATGTTCCCGGCAAATTGTAGTTGCAGCCGGCGCCAATGTTGCTGTGCTGCACTGAGCAGTATGAATGAGCACCCACACCCTAGCGTTGTAAAAATATCTGTCAATGTTGCTGCGCTGCAATTGACAGACAGGATGGCACCAGCTAGCGGCAGACTCCGGCTGGAGTTGCCATATCGTTAACGAAGTGTGAATTGAAGTACTACTGTCAACAGTGTTGCCGTGTCGCAATTAGCTTAAAAGTGTCATTGCATCATTATGATCTTTAATGAATAATAATTCAAGCAATGACGTCACACACACACACACACACAATCCCACATACAGAGAGACACTTGGTTTGTGGTATTATTTACAAATAAACAAATTGATGCTACGTTTCTGTTGTCATTTGGCTTTACGTGGGCGCAACAACTTGTTAACGAATAGACAGATATAAGGAAAAGATGAAATTCTGTTCGGCTGAAATTGCGAAACTCGCAACAATACCGAACTTCAAGTAATTCGGATGCGAATTGGAATTCGAATTGATTTAGCATTTCGAGTGGCTCTTTACATGTGCATAAATTATTCGAATTGGAATTGTACATTGAATTGGAATTGCTTTGCATATGCTAATTGGCATTACAGGGCTTTCCGTTTTGTTTATGAAATTTTATGCAGCAAACGGTCGTACGTGTGTGTGTGTGTGTGCGTGGTCAGCTGCTTTAGCCATGCGACTCGTACAGTTAGTATAAATGATAAATCTTGCACTAAATAACGAGAGTGTGGAGTGAGGGGAAGGGAGGGGGCGGAGTCGGGAGCACAGCAAACATTACACAATGTTTAAACGAGGAGTGCTAATAGGAAAATGCATTTGCAGCCTGGCAACTCTGATTGGACATTGAGCTGCGTTGGCATGCCCACTTTATCCCACGTCTCTCCCTCTCTCTGTCACTCTCACTCGATGCATGTGTGCGTGTGTGCCTAGCTGATGAAATGAGCTTATGTTATTTATTGTGATCAAAATAAAATGCACAAAATCAATTGCGGTTTTATGAATGTATTTATGTAAAAGCAATATTGAAAATAATACAGCATATTGGACAGCTCCTCTTCTTCTTAGCTAGTTGCCCCCGCACACACACAAACACACACAGACAGCCACTCACACACCTGGCGTGTGTGTCAAAGCCGCAGCTACATGCGTCATGTTTCCCCCCACTTAATGCGGTACTCTTTTTTTTAGTACCATTTTCACTTTGCGCTTATTTTTATCAGTCAGACACTCACACACACACACACGCAGAGATCTGTCTTCTCTTTGATTAAAAGTTCGGGTCAATGTCGCTGCACAGTGTTATATATATTCTAGATATTAGCACTTGTGTTCTCGTTCTTCGCTGACATACCTTTATTTGTTTTTTTTTTGGTTCGGCGTGCGATGTAATAACAATAAAAAAAAAAAAGAAAACAACACGCTCCGGACACAACACGCTACGAGTTTCGACTTAAAAGCAAAAACAATAACTGAAAATACTTTTTGCAATGCGACCAGAGTGCACCAGGCTCATAATACCATTCAGTGTGGCTGCCAAGCGTTACAGCTGGTCACACCTAAAGTGTTCCCTGCATTTCAACGGCATCTGGTAACGCTTGATGAGGCGCAATAATTTAAACGCGACTACTGTGAATGGCCCACAGATAAATATTTAATCAATGTTTCGAAGTAAGAAATAAAACCACTATGACTGCAACATAAGTGTATGTATATTTAATTTAGAGCAATAATAAAAAAAAAATGAACCTAAATAATGTCTTTAGCGGCACATCTACGAGGTGAGTAACATAGGTAAATACACAATACACCATACAATTTATAATTATGGATAAAGGACTTTTTAAACATATTGTTCACAAAACATTCATTAGCTTAGGTCTATATTGTTCACAATTGTGCATTTGGACATGGCGAAAGCTATGTCCAACAAGTCCTTACTTTGAGTATTGCACTAATGGCTCACATATTTAACTGTTTTTTTTTTTTCTTTTTCATTTTTAACTTAAACTTTATTTTCCCCAGATTCGTTTTCTGTTGGGCTAAAACTTTTTTTTATGCTCACGTGTTTTCATTTACTTAGAGTTAATATTGAAACTAACCTGGGCTTGGGAAGGAGAAAATTATGGTATAGTGGTAAATTGTTAGTGAATGACCTGGGTATTATTATAAGACTTGGGATTGTTTTTCTCTTTTTTTCTTCATTTCTTTTATGGGTTTTTCTTTCTGTTTTGTACACTACAAGTTAGGGACATAAATTTTTTGTTTCAAAATATCAATTGGACAAAATGTTTGGTAATTTCAGATAAGCTTAGAATTTTCATCATATTTGTCTCCTTCATTTCCTGTTTCATTATCCTCCTCTTGAAGGTTTTTTTTTCGTATTGCCTTTATCTTTTCACGTTGATCTTTAAATTTTGAAAATTTGCCCGCAAGCCAACTAGCCAATCCACTAGCTCCATATAAGCACACCTATATATCGACACATATACACACGCACTCACTCACAGACAGACACACACACACACACACGCACTTGGGAGAATTTCCTTTCCACTCTTTCCAGTTGGTTGTTTCGATTCCCTTCAAGCAGTTTTAATGGTATGCAGTGGGTAGTGGTCCTTGATCGTGCGAGTGTTGGATTTCATGTGCCTCCTTTTTCCTCCTCTGTGACATTTTCTTATAGCTCTCACCCTCCTTTCCGATTTTCGCATATTGTTGCTGCTGTGTTTGCTGTTGATTTGTTGTTGCTGCCGTGTTTTTGATTTCGTTTGGGTCTGGGGATCAGTCGCCGTGGTCGCTCTTATGCGGATAAGCCGAGTGTCTTGCGTACCAATCGCTGTGCGATCCGATTGAACTCGTCCCTCCGCTCCCGCCACATGATGGCCGCATCCACATTGGCGCCACTCTCGTCGTTCGGTTCTAAGGGAAGGCAGACGATTAGTCAAATGGACAGGAATACAAGTCTATATATATATGCATATATATTCTAGGTCTATAGGTCTCTTTACCCGCCAGCATGCTGACCACACTCAGCAGTATCTTCTCAACACTCTGAACAGGGCTCCAGCGCTCGGCGGAGAGCTCGTAGCCCATGGGATCGTCGCCAGGGGCGTGTAGTATTGATATGCAGACGCGGCCATCGGCAAAGATGTTTGGATGAAACATATCACAAGTGAATTTCATTTTAGGTGGACTCAGTGGGTAGTCGGGTGGAAAGACCAAACGGGCGGGAAACACGCCGCCCTCGAAACAGGTGCCCTCGGGTCCGCTACAACATACAGTTAGATTAGATATACATAATGGCACGCATACACATGCACACACTTATGTATGTAGGTGTATGCACATGATTTGACAACTCACGCAATTAGCGCCTCCCATTCAAAGAAATTGTCCTCACTGATGGGTCCAGCGGCAATGCCCTCCGGCGGATCCATTGTTAACTCTATATGATGCAGTAGGCCGAGCGAGCATGTGAGAGTTTATGTGTGTGTACGAGAGAGTGAGAGGGAGAGAGAAATAGGGGAACAGTTATGACGTTGTTGTTGATGAAAGTTCATCCGGACGCAGCTAGCAAATCTGCATCTATTGAGCACCTGCCCAAAGTCCCGTTCACTTACGTTTGTATTCCGCCATCAGGCGACGCAGCGCCGAGCCAGCCATTTGTTGTCCACTTTAGTTTAAAATTGCAGCTCGAGGTCAAGTTAAGCGAGAAAAACACCACGTTGGTATTTGCGAGCGTGTGGCATAAAGTTGCAAAGTGTTTATTTTTATATATGTATATAATTTGCTTGCATATACATATACATATTCATATATATACATACATACATATGCATATATGTATATAATTATATATACATGTATACGTATATATATGTATATATACAAGATATATGCTAGTGTGTGGTATATATATATTAATGTATATATATACGTATATATACAACTAAAAAAACAAACAAAACTGTCGAACTGCCGTGTGTGTGTGTGTATATATATACATATATATGTATGTATGTATGTATATATGTATATGTGTATTTATTTTGTCCGTATGCGTATGTCAATGTCGGCCAGCTTGAAAAAAAAATGAAACTACGTTTTGGGTTTTCAGGGCTGCCAGACGGTTTCACTTGACATCGCACCTATCGCATACACTAAACATACATATGTGTGCAAATCGAAGTGCGCACAACGCGCCGAGCTACTTGGTAATTGTATCCATTCTTGTTTTTGTTGTTGCTCTACCGTTTCATTGGAATCGGATTTTATAAGCACCTGTTTGAGGTAAAATGTCTTGTTTTCTCTTTGTATTTCTGCTGCAACACGAAAATGTGCCTGCTTCTTACAGGTGGCAACCTGTGTGTTATCGTTTGAATAAAGCTTATGCCTAGATCTGGCAACACGCTCGGTGTTTACTTCTTATTTAGTTTATTTATAAAACAAAACGTAAATACTTTGGAAATGCTAAAATAATTAAAAATTACAGCTCGTTGTGCTCATTGCGGGAAGACGCATTGGCCGGCAGATGAGCTTTCAGCTCACGCCAGAAGTCAACACGATGCTGCAGCAGCGCTAGCTCCATGCGCAGCAGAGCCGGCCGCTCAGTCTCGGTCTCGTCCAAGTCCAACTTGGAGCCCAGGCGGGCATATTGCACTGGATAGGTGCGCGCGGGCAACCAGGTGGGTAGATTGCTGGTGCCATTCGCATGATTAGGATCACTAAAGGAAATCGATTTATTTCAGTTGATGTTTGTAGCAATTGCTAAAGAGAGCTGGCATACCCGTTGCGTGCAAAGTTCACCCAGAGGCGGAGCATTAGGTCGCGTAGCTCCAGGTCCTGGCGCGTCGGCACCGCGCTCACGAACAGCTCCTGGCCGATGGGAAACAGATACTGCAGCTCCTCAGCATGGCAGGCGCCATAGAACTCGTTGCGTCCGCCCTTAAAGATCTCCGAGAAGCTGGCCGCGCCCTTGTGATCAAACAGATAGACATACGTGGGCGCCTGCTGCTGGTCACCCAAGCGCAGCTGCAAGTACTCATCTACGCCAGCCACAAACCAGCCATCGGATATAAGCTGCAAGCGATAGAATATATTAATATATTGAGATGATGTAAGTGATGCTGCTCTGATGCCTACATCGGTCAGATTCTGATGGTTGGACTTGTTGTAGTTGTGGCCCGCTTTGAAGTAGAAATTCTCAATGTGGCGCGTTATCTGCTGCTGCTTCTCGTCGTCGTGATGGTCATAGTTGAGCACCACAGGCAGCAGGCGCTCGAAGGACGACTTGAACTCCGCCATGATATGCGGCAGATTGAGCAGCGCCGCCGTCTTCAGAAGCCCCTCCTCGGCTGTCACGCCTATCATCAGGGGCAGCTCCTGGCCATGCGGTCGCTGGGCCACCTCGCGTGGTCGCTGCGTCAGGAAGGCGCCCTCATGCTCCGGCTCAATGACGGGCGGAAACGGTATCATCGGATCAAAGTCCCAAACCTGAAAGAGGAAGGAAGCAGCTTTATATACTGTCACCACACACACGCACCCACCCAACCACACACTTACAAACATGTCGTAGAGCGTGGCTACCACATCCTCGGCTCGCTTGCCGCGCAAACAGTTCAAGCGCGCAGGCCAATCCTCGCCAGCTGCGGTGCAGTTCAGCAGCTCGGTCAGTTTGAGTGCACGCTGAGCGGCCACGCCCGTGTGGGCGGGCTGTGCCCATGGATTGAAATAGGTGCCCGACTGGGCAATGGCCCGGTGGAGTAGACCGCGTGACTTTTCGGAGAGCATGTGGTACGTGACGCTGGCACCGCCGGCGCTCTCGCCGAACACCGTCACGCTCTGCGGATCACCGCCAAAGGCGGCAATGTTGTCGCGCACCCAGCGCAGCACCTCCAGCTGATCCTTCAGGCCATTGTTGCCCGGACAGTCGAGCGTCTCGGTGCTGAGGAAGCCGAGCGGGCCCAGCCGAAAATTGGCCGAGACGAGCACAATGTCGTGCTCGAGCAGAAAGTCCGGCCCGTAGAAGCTGCTGATGCCCGCGCCGCACTGCCAGCCGCCGCCGTGGAACCACACCATCACGGGCAGCGGCTCCGCCGGCACCGGATCTGGCGTATACACGTTGAGGTACAGGCAGTCCTCAGAGCCCTCGATCATCATGTCGCGTCGAAACGGATCGCGTTGCATGCAGACGGGCGCATCCTTAACGGCCAGCCGCTCGCCCTGCCACGCCGGCATCGGGACGGGCGCCCGGAACCGCAGCTCGCCCAGCGGCGGCACGGCATAGGGCACGCCCATAAACGCCCGCATATGCCGCCCGCTGTGGGTGGTCTTGTGGCGGCCCACCAGCCAGCCGCCGTGCGGCATCTGGACGTGCATGCCCTGCGAGGCGCGCGCCCAAGCCCCATCGATCAGAGCGCCCAGCAGGAGCGCCCCCAGCCACAGCAGCTTCCCGTCGATTCTCATTCTCATTCTCAGTCGCAGCTCATCAACTCGCCAACTGATTTGGCCAACGGCCGCTGCTGCCGGTTTTAAGATTACAACATTCGGCCGTGTGCGGCGCGAGCAGCGCACACTGGTTCCGCGTACTAAAAATAGCAAATCAAACCAATAACAACACCGAATGAACCCCAAAAAAATAATTGAAATTCAATCGATTTCCATAACTGGAAAAAGGCAAACATATTCTCAAATAATTAATGTCTTGTCTCAGCCTCGTCAAATTAATAATTTAGTCTGTAATCTGTAATCTTTGATCTAAAATCTGGCACCTGCTATACATTTACCTTAATCAAAGTCTGTCTGAGAGCTGCACGTGTACGCTGGGCTGACAGTCTGTGCACAGCTAACTTTAACTGTAACTTCCTGTAAGTTTAGTTTCAAGAACTGACTGAGCTTTTGTGTGCTTTCGCAGCCGAGCTTAATACCATTGAGCTTTATGTGGCAAGTCCTATAACTTTAGTTGGTTTCAAAGTTATCACAGAGCTTGTGGGTGCTTTCGCAGCAAAGCTTAGATCTGTAGAGCTTTCTGCAGAACGTGCTGCTTGCTTTATGCTCTTCGAGCTTTCAGGCGCCGCAAGCTCTTAAGATGTTTTTTTTTCATGCAAGGCTTAGGCTGATTGGATTTGTTCTTTAATTTTTATTATTTATGATTTTTGTAAAATTATTTTTTATTTTGCATTGGGTTTATATAAAAGCTTTGCTCTTTTATTTTTATTATTATTATTTTTTTTTAATTATTTTTTTTTTTATCTATTTTGGCATGTTCTTAAATTTTTATTATTTATGATTTTTTTTAAATTATTTTTAAAATCTATTTTTGGTTGTTCTTAAATTTTTTTATTTTTGATTTGTTTTAAATTATTTTTTAAATCAATTTTTGCATTGTGTTTGCTTTGCTCTTTAATTTTTATTATTATTATTATTTTTTTTTTTTGTAAAATAATTTTTTAAATCTTTTTTTGCATTGTTAAACCCAAAGCTTTGCTCTTTTATTTTCATCATAATTTGTTAAATTTTTGCTATCCATTTTTGCATTGGGTTTATATAAAAGCTTTGCTCTTTTATTTTCATTATTTATGATTTGTTTTTTAAATTATTTTTTATCCATTTTTGCATTGGATTTATAGACAAGTTTTGTTCTTATGTCTTATTCCATTTTTATTATTATTTTTTTTATTCAATTTTGTTGCTTTAACCTTAAAACCAAATTTCGGTTGCTTTTTGTTTATATTTAAATAAATTGCAAATAAAACATAAATTAAAATATATATATTTGTTGCTTTATTTTAATTTTTGTTTGTCACAAACTTGTTTTTATACAACTCTTAAGTTCATAAAATACATTATTTTTTTATGAATAATTTATTTGCATTGGTTTTTTTTTTTTTTTTTGTAACTGGAAGAGCATTTACCTGCCCAACTCTTGGCCCCACTGTGCGCATCCTCAAGCTGTGTTCTTAAATTGCTTACAATAATTAAAAAAAATACATGTTTTGTTGTTGTTGTTGTTGTCTGTTTCGGTACTTAGCCAAATGTGTGAAATAAATACAACGAAAAAATCTGCAATGCAAAAGTTGATTTGTTGACAAACACCGATTAGCGCACAGTGGGTCAAGTGCAGCTGAAATATGCGCAAATTTTGTGAATTTTATTCTGTTTTATGTAGTGTATATATATATATTAAATATAATTTTTTCTCATCACTTTCTTATTGTAGCTCTATTTCTTCTTCTTATCCATCTCCTTTGTCAAGCCTTCTATGATTCGCCCACAAGGGGCAAAGCGGAAAATGTTTTTTCACATGGTAAATGGATTCGGCCGTGACAGCGTATGCTGCAGTCGGTAACGACCGACTACAACATTCATATTTGTTTTTTTTTTTTTAACCTTGCCCAGACTTTAATTTGTTGCCAAGCTGAATTTGTTCTTGTAGCTTCGTTCCACTGTGCGATGGCTCCGACTGCTGCTGCCGTTCTAACTGTGTCGCATGATATGGCTAAAAAAAATAAAAACCCATAAATATAGTCAGCCCCAATCCAATTTGGACATTCACTCAAGCTCTGCTCTCCTTTCGCTTCGCACCAGATCTAAGATGGGATTTTTTATTTAATCTGGTATTTTTTTTCCAATCAACGCTTGGCCTTCGACGATCGAGTACTCGATTGATATTATATCACCCTCATTAGCGACGACGTAAATCAATTGAGAATGTTCCAGTCGAGCCGCACTGATTGCATAATACTCGCTCATTTGACTCTAAAGAGAGTATATGCGTTGACTTTACTCACAGAGTTTGGGCGGATAGAGTCTTTGTCGGTATGCCACGCCCCTAAGAGGTATAGAGATACTTCAATTCACACACAACTGTGCTCTGAACCAGAAGTAATATCTATATCTAAAACTCTGAAGATTTGAAACTTTGACTGTCCATATCTCTAGTGGAGCTATAGAAAAAACCCATATACCCTTCTCTATTTTATGTATCGTATGTCGAGTATATGGATCCAAATTTGTCCATTTGCCATGCCTCGATTGAAACACCTTTAAAAAAAAAAGTCACTCAATTGCAGTTGACTCTGATGTACGCCCATCTAAGGCGTGGTGGGGGCATGCCATAAGAGGCAAGTCGAATTTTATATGAAAAATCCCACGACAGCTAGACAAACTGATATACCCGATTAGCACCTAATTAAATTAATCAAACTGAAGTTAAATACAAATGAATGCAAATCGTAGAGCCCCGAGACGGGTGTACTAGACTGTGGTGTATACATACAGAAAAGCACTTGAAAATTTCAGGTAGGTAAGCCTTATGAGATCGAGTAGAATATGTGGAATATGGCTATGAATGTGTTAATAAACCTTCAGGTACAGATATTGCGTGATCATGTTGAGCCATAAGAATTTATCTCTATTGTATCAGTAATTTTATAGCTCTCTCTCTCTCTCTCTCTCTTTCTCTCTCTGTCTCTTTTTCTCGCTCTCTCCTTCTTTCGTTTTTCTGTGTTTACCCAGTTCCTCATTCTGTCTTTTTCCCTATGCTTATAGCCCTATTTCTCCTTTTCTTTTTCTATGCTGCTATCCTGCTCTCTTTATCTCTCCACTCTTCTCCCTTTATGCATCTTTCTTGCTCTCCCTCGTACAATTTCTTTGATTCCCTCGTCTTCTCTCTCACCCTCTCACGATTTCTCTCTCACGCTCACTCTATCTCCTTTTCGGTCTCTCTCTCTCTCTCTCTCTCGCCTTCATTCTATCTCACTCTCACTCTCACTCTCACTCTCACTCTCACTCTCACTCTCACTCTCACT